TGCATCGCGCTCGGCCCCCGCAGAGAGCCAACAATCGTAAAATAATGGAGTTCTCCCGCGCCGGCGCTCGGGCTGCGAGAGTCTCCCCTGAACTCCCGTTTTCTTCTACCAGCGTCTACCCCCCCTCCTCCCCTATCCCCCGTCCCCTGGTCAGTTCCCATTCCCCTTCCCCATCCCCCCCCCCCCCCGCCGCCCCGCTCGCTCATGTCCAGCATCCCAACTCCCATCTCTACCTGATGTTCGCCCAAGCAACCGAATCAATAATCTACATGTCGAACGCGACGGGGGGCGCGCGGGCCACCGATTAGCGAATCCTCCGGCGCCGAACTTATGCGGGGATGAAAGGTAGACGCGCGCCGTGGCGGGAGAAGTCACGCTGGGAGGGGCGGGTCCCGGTGGCGCTCGCTCCCTAGGCCGCTGCGATGTGCTTGTTAAGGCAGTAAACACCAGGTGGAAATGTGGAAGTGCGGCCCAGGCATCTAAAGGCGGCCGTGGCATGCGGTGAACCTGTTGCTTCTCTCGCTCTCTCTCTCTCTCTCTCTCTCTCTCTCTCTCTCTCTCTCTCTCTCTCTCTCTCTCTCTCTCTCTCTCTCTCTCTCTCTCTCTCTCTCTCTCTCTTTCTCTCTCCCTCTCACTCACTCAGGTAATGCCCCGAAATGCCTCGGCCCGTAGCCATGCCCGCCGAGGCCTGGGTCCTTCTACCTGTAATTATGTGATCAGCTGTGACGGCGCGAGGGCCATGTAGGGGGCGTAACACCTGCATATCACCGTCATAAGTGGTTCTGCTTCCCTCCCCTTCCTACCCATATCTCTTACCCGTTTACCCTTCCCTTACCTCCTTTCCCCTTTACCCTCCCTTACCCCCTTCCCTTTTTACCCTCCCTTATCCCGATTATCTTTTACCTTTCCCTTCCACCCCTTCCCCTTCACCCCCTCTTTTCCCCCTTCCTTCCTTCCCCACCCTTCCTCCCCTCCCCCTCCTCCCTGCTCATCCTCGCCGTCTCCCTTGACAAATTGTGGCGAGCGATAAGGAGATTGGAGAAATACAATCACCATTCCTCAAAAGAGAGATGTTTGTTAAGCTGCGGGACCTATGGTTGTTTTGGATTCCCTTCTTCCTTCGCCTTTCCTCTTGGCTTGTTGCTTTCTTCTCTTGGTTTTCCTTTCCTTATGTCTCTTTTTTTTTTGGGTATTCTTCTTCTATTGGTTTTATCGTCCGTGTCTTCTGTTTTATCTTTTTCTCTCTGTTCTCTTGTCTACATTTTCTTTCTCACTCTGACTGTTGGTCTTCATATTCGAACTGTTGTTGCCTATTTGATTGTCTTCTCTCTATCGCCTGTAGCTCTTGCTTTATTTTCCCCTCATTATTCTCCGTCTCTCTCCTTCTCTCCCTCTCTCTCTCTATCTCTCTCATCTCCCCCCCTCTCTCCCTATCTCTATCTCTCTTCTTCCCCATCTCTCTCTCCCTCCTCCCTCTCTCCCTCTCCCTCTCCCTCTCCCTCTCCCTCTCCCTCTCCCTCTCCCTCTTTCCTTCTCCCCTCTCTCCCTCTCCCTCTTCTTCGCCGTGTAGGACGCCCAGCGCTCGACACGGGAGGTCCTTCGCTCCCAAATAACGGACCTCGTTCGCCCTCGGGAGAGAGATGTGACGGAGAGATGAAGGAGCGGAGGAGGATGAAGAAAAGGAGGAGGTAGAGGAGGATGGAAGGAGGACGGCCAGGGGGATGAGGGAGAGGCTGAGGGCGAGTGGGACGAAGGAGGAAGAAGACGAAGGATATAAAGCGGCGTAGGAGAGGTGCGACGGAGGGCAGGACGGAGAGGCATCCTTAAGGAGGCTCGCCCCTCGGGGACGTCCGTCGAAGGGGCGTGTCGCGCCTTCAAGATTGGAATCGATCCCGCCGTAAGGAAACCGTAATTATCACCAGAGTGTGATCCGCTCTCCTCTCGTCAGCGCTGGTTATCAGCACTATTAGCCCGCCTCCGGGTCATCGGAACGGCGATAAGGAGCGAGAAGAAAGAGAAAAAAGCTCCTTAGGAGTGAGAAGGAAGAGAAAAAGAGGCACTTAGTCAGGGACTGCCTCCGAGGGCAGTGAATTATGGCTCCGCGTCCAGTCCTGAGCGCTTAGTGCCTCGGCCGCGTCTCCTTCTGCGCCGCCGCTCGGGGCTCTGGAGAGACGATCGGCTGGGGCTCTGCGCCGGCCGTTCAGGGAATCTGACAACTCTTTTCTACCTTTTACTTCCTTCTTCCTCTATTATCTCTTATCCGTGTTTTCTTTCTTTCTCTCCCTTCCCCCCGTCCTCTCAAGAACTTATCGAGGGCGTCGGCGAATCCTTCATGGCCTCCGTCGGTCTCCATTAATCAGCAAATGCGAAATTAAATGAAAAATGCGTGGTCGACGATCGTGTTGCATGATTTTTCCTCTGAAACTCTTCCTCGAAAGAAAAGAAGAGAGAGAGAAGGAGTCAGAGAGAAAGCATGAAGGAAGTAAAGAGAGAGAAAAGCAAGAAAGAGTAAGAGAGAGAGAGAGAGAGCTGTATGCAGGCCGCTGAACTGAAACTTATAAATATTAATATCCACTGACTGATCTCGTTGCCTGGGGGGGAGAGGGCGTTCGAGAGGCACCGCAAGAAGCGCGCAAGGAGGGAGGCAAAGCGGGAGGGAGATAGTTAGAAAAAAGGAATAAAAACGAAGAGGAAGAACGAAAGAAAAATGTAAAAGAAGCGCAAAGAGGGGGGCTAAAGAGGAGAATTATTGGAAACGAGAGGAAAAGAGCAAAGGAAAGGAATTGATAGCAAAATGGAAGGGAAGTCGAGGCCGATGGTCCCTCGCTTGCAACAACTCTTCCTACCGATAGCATGGGCGGTCGAAGGGCGTAGGGAGGAGGGAGGGAAGAGGACGAGGGAGGGGAGAGGTTGAGGGAGGGGAGAGGACGAGGGAGGGGAGAGGGCGAGGGAGGGAGGGAGAGAGTGATGGGAAATGGGAGGGGAGAAGGCAAGGGAGAAAAATGGGGATAGGGGAAGGGGGGGTTAGGAGGGGGGGAGGGGGAAGGAGCGGGAATATAATAGGCTGTAAAAGGGCGTGGGGCTTAAATACGGGACTGTGGCTTCAAGATGGCCGCCGTGAATGGGTTCGTCGTCAGCTCTCGGGCGCCTCTCGTGACTGTTGTATCGCGCGCCCGATCTCGACCGCGGCGGCGACTCCACTCCCGAACGCTGTAAGTACGGGGGGGAGGGGGGGAGATACGAACGTCTTAAGGGGCTTCCTTTTCTCTCGCTGCGTCCTTTTTCTTTTCTTTCTTTTTCATTCCCTCCTTTTTTTTTTGTTCTTGGTTTCTCCTTGTGTTCTCTTTTTTTCTACTCTTTCTTTCTTTCTCTTTTGTGGACGATGAGAGATACTGAAGGAAAAGGGATTTTCGCTTTGATAGCTGCGATCAGATAGGGCGTGGCGGCGGAGTTGGTCGACTGGAACACGCCCACCCTCGCCCTCACCCCCCCCTCCTGATCGACCCCCCTATTGGCCTCTCCCCCCCCCCTTCGCTTCCTTGTCCTCTTATCCTCCTCCATGAGAGAGAGAGAGAGAGAGAGAGAGAGAGAGAGAGAGAGAGAGAGAGAGAGAGAGAGAGAGATTGAGACGAGAGGAGAGGGTAAGGTGAAATGCCCGACGCCCCTCCCCCCCCCCCACTTCGGCTGCCAGAAGGGAGGTGCCGTCGGGCGAAGAGTGGGCGGCGGAATTGCTCCGTGCTGACCCTCTCTCTCCTCCCTCCCTCCCTCCTCCCCCTATCCCCTACCCCCGCAGTCCCTATCTCCTACCCCCTTGTCCTTATCTCTTCACCCCTACCCCCTCACCCTCACCCTCACCCTCACTCTTCCCTCACCCCTTCCCCCTCCCCCTCACCCATCCCTCACCCCTTACCCCTCCCCCCCTCACCCTTCCCTCACCCTCCCCCTTCCCCACCCACCCCCAAAAACATCCCCATAAATAAGGCCCTGATTGCAACGGATCCGAGACCTGCGCGGGGTAACTATTGACTCTCGCTGAGCACAATGACGGGGCCGAAGCCGTGGCCAGATGAGACTAATGCATAGGTAGCGATCCCGTCCGAACACACGCAGCCGCTTGGGAAATTAATTTTTCTCTTGTGTTGTTTTTCTCTCTCTCTGTTTCCTATATTTTTATTTATGTGTCTTTGTGTCTCTTTCCGTCTATTTCTCCTTCTCTACCTTTCTCGTTCTCTCTCTCTCTATCTATATCTATATATCTATTTATCTATCTATCTATATCTATCACTTTTTTCCCCATTTTCTTGTTTTTCTTTGGTTTTGGTCCGAATTATCAAGGTGTTTGGCCACTTTCTTTGGTTGCCAATTATCCGATTGTAAACAAGAATGCTGGAGACAGAAAAAAATAAGATAATAGTGATGAAAATTCAAAAGATAAAAAGTTGGCAGAGTGATGAAAGAGGTAGAGAAGTTTGTTTATTTTGACTGTCGAAAGGAGAGATTTTCGAATTTTTTTTTCAGTTTTCCTTTTTTTTTCCTCATAGATGTATTATGTGTGTGTCTTTTTTCAGAAGTTGTTAGGGTCGTGCTTAAAACCTGGTAAAGAGAGAGAGAAAAAAAAATGTAGGAAAAGAGAGGGAGAGAGAGAGAGAGAGAGAGAGAGAGAGAGAGAGAGAGAGAGAGAGAGAGAGAGAGAGAGAGAGAGAGAGAGAGAGAGAGATTGAGCCTGCAATTGCGAGGCTGTAATGTATGCCCCCCTCCCCCCCACCTCCTCCGCCGTTACCTGTCCTGGCGCGGCGTATGTTCCCGGCGTCCTGCGGGCGCCATAAACCCGCCGACAGGACTCGGTAGTCACGGCCACCAGGGACTCTCCGGCTCCTTCGAGGCGACTCGGCTCCTTGCTCTGCGTAGATTTAACTTCATTCGCGACTTCTCTGCGAGGACTCCCGCCCGCAGGCCCCCCCCCCCCCCAGAGACTAACCTAGCTGTGCTTTCGCTTGCAGAATTCCGTGCGCCGATGAGAGACTGACAGGCCTGCCCTTGCTCCTCCCGCTCCTGCCGCTGCCAGGCCCCGTTCCATCCCGCCAAGGACTCCTCCTTCCAGCCGGGGTCATCCACCTGCCCGGATCCTGCCGCAGGAGCGCCCGCCTACGTCACTAGCCCCAGCCGCGCGCTGGACTAGTGAACCTCCGCCCGCCAGTGACCACTCCGCCGCCCTCGTCGCCCGCACCTTCCGCGGGCTGTGACGAGCACGTGAGTGAGCGTGTGTGTGCGTGTGTGTGAGCGTGTGCGTGTGTGAGTGTGCGTGTGCGTCGAAGGAGCCATCGACTCCGACCTCCCACGCCCCCACGCACTCCGCCCGCCCCGCCCTCGCCCTCCGTCAGCCGCGGCGCCCTCGGGAGCGAAGTCTTTGCGCTTGTAACCGTGGCCGAAGAAGCTCTCTTCATGATTACCATGGACATTCCGACGCCGCCGACGCCACACCAGGTGGTCACCCAGAACATCATGCAGCAGCCCAGCCCCGACGACTCCAAGAAGAAACGTGAGTACCTGGCCCGCCTTTCGTCCATTATGCCATTTCCAAAAAAGAAAAAAAAGGTTAACAAAACAAAACTAAAAGAGGAAACGTCGTTGTCTTACCTGTGTCTCCGCACGCGCTTGGTTCCTTCTGTCGCACGCGCTTCGCTACGGTGCCAGCTCGGGCGCCTGTCGCGGCTGCGTCGGCGCCCCGTCGCTGCGCTGCCCGTGCCTGTGCCAGGGTGACCCTCGACCTCTCCTGGTTTGGTTTTTCGTTTTGTTTTTCTCTAGTTCTTTCTCGTTTTGTTTTTCTCTAGTTTTTTCTCGTTTTTTTTTTCTCCTCGTTTGGTTTGTCTTTTTCTTTTTTTTCGACAGCAAGGTTGTCCCTCGACCTCTTCTGTTTTTTTCTGTTTTTGTTTTTGCTTTTGTTTTTGTTTTTGTTTTTGTTTTTTTCAACAAGAGGGTTGTATACTCGGTGTCCCTCTGATAAGGCATCTTCTCACCTCAAGTGGGAGATGCTTAAGACTCGAGAGAAAGTTTGGAGCATGAGGAGCTTTCTTTATAAGAAGCTGAGCTCTTCGACTAAATGCTTTATTTGCCTTTCGTGCTTCCGTTATTATTGGATATCTTTTCCTCCTTTTTTCAATGTCTTTTATTTAACGATTTCTGAATTTTAAGGGGGAGGGAGGGAGGAAAGGGGGGGTAGAGAATCTAGCTTAGTCATATGGTGATTTCTTCTTCTTACGAGGAACCCATTGCATAAGTCCAGTGGCAATTTTTTTCCTATTCTCTCTCCCTCTCTCTCTCTCTCTCTCTCTCTCTCTCTCTCTCTCTCTCTCTCTCTCTCTCTCTCTCTCTCTCTCTCTCTCTCTCTCTCTCTCTCCCTTTTTTCTCTATCTATCTATCTACCTATCTACTTATCCATCTATCTATCTTTCAATCTATTCCTCTCTCTCTTTCTCTCTCTCTCTCTCCCTTTCTTTCTTCATCTACATTTCTTCATTTCTCAACACTTTCGCTCAAAATTCCACACTTCACTCCTAAGACATTCCCAAGGAGGTAGTGGGTGGGGTGAGGGGGTTAGGGGGAGGGGGAGGGGGAGGTAGAGGAAGAGAGGAAGAGGGGGCGTGGGGGAGGGGGATGGGGTGGAAGGGAGGGAGGGGGAGGGGGTGATGACAGTGAACACGCGAACCCCTTTCTGACAGATCTCCCTTGCACAAGAGTAATCATCTGTATATTCTCAGCATCACATCTATAAAAAAAAGAAAAAAAAAAAAGAGTGAAAAAAAGACCAAGGATCGTAGAGTGTTTTCTCAACATCATATAATATAAAAAAAAAAAAAAAACATTGTCAAGGTTCGTACTTTCTAGCATTACATCCCCCCCCCCCCCCCCCGAAAAAAACGGTACTTTTATTTGGGTAAAAAAAAATAGAGACGGTCTGTGTTGAAAATCGCCTTCACCATACAAAGTGACCGTATACATTTTTTTTTCTTTATATTCCGCTCTCTCTCATCCTCCTCCTGCTCCTCCTCCTCTTCCTCCTCCTCTTCCTCCTCTTCCTCCTCTTCCTCCTCTTCCTCCTCCTCTTCCTCCTCTTCCTCCTCCTCCTCTCCTCCTCCTCTTCTCCTCCTCCTCCTCCTCCTCCTCCTCTTCTTCCTCTTCCTCCTCCTCCTCCTCCTCCTCCTCCTCCTCCTCCTCCTCCTCTCCTCCTCCTCCTCCTCCTCCTCCTCCACCCCCCCCCCCCTTCGGCTCTCTTATGCATGGGAAAATTCTGTTGTCAAGCTCCTGTCAAGTTCCTGTCAATCAATGCCTCGTGCTCGGAAAGCATCTCTGCCTGTATGACAACTGCAAATATTTGAAGAACGTGATTTCAGAATTTCTGCCATCCTTTAGGGCTGGTCAGGGTAGCTGAAATGGGTGGGTTCGCTAAATGGAATAGCTGGTTATATGCTCTCTCTCCCTCTCTCTCTCTCTCTCTCTCTCTCTCTCTCTCTCTCTCTCTCTCTCTCTCTCTCTCTCTCTCTCTCTCTCTCTCTCTCTCTCTCTCTCTCTCTCTCTCTCTCTCACTATATATCTCTCTTTACACTTCAATTATCATAACCATTTGTCCTCCCGATCGTGCTTTTGCTTCCCACAGGTACTCCTTACAATATCAAGAAGTTACATTCATATATCCAATCGTTTTATGTTTTTTTTTCTAAAAGCGTTTTACAAAAATACAAAAAATAAAAAATAAAAGATCAATATGGTATATGAAGTAACTTCCACATTCAGTGAATTTGTTTAGAAGAACAAAATTCGTATATTTAAAAGAAAAGAAAAAAGAAACAAAAAAAAAACAAACTAAGCAACGATTTTGTAGATAAAACCGTCAAAGAAATCTTACTTTGTCTAAGTCCGCCCACTCCCTCAGGCCGCCCGCCCACCCGCCCGCCTGCCTACCCCGACGCCCGAAATATGAAGGCACTGACGGGAAGGCGTGTTGCCATTGCTCATAATTTGCGGCATTAATAAAGCCAAATACACAACTCACGATGCTGAGCTTTCTGCTGTCTCCTTTTCTTGCCTTTCTCTCTTTCTCTTTCTCTTTCTCACTTTTTCTCTCTCTCTCTCTCTCTCTCTCTCTCTCTCTCTCTCTCTCTCTCTCTCTCTCTCTCTCTCTCTCTCTCTCTCTCTCTCTCTCTCTCTCTCTCTATCGAAGCGAGTGTGGGAGGAAAAGAATGATAGAGAGATGGGGGTAGTAGGGAGAGGGAGAGGAGCGAAAAAAAGGAGAAAGAGAGAGAGAGAGAGAAAGATCCTTTATTGAAGTTTCTTAAGTGCTGGAACAATAAACACCAATTAGAGTGAACAGAAACTAAAGTAAATTACAATGGAAGTGCCAATCATCATAAATTACGAGAAGAACGAGAGGCGAGCCCTGCAATCATGGGGGGGGAGGGTATTAAGGAGGGGGGGGGAGAGGGAAGGAGGGGGAGGGAGGGAGGGGAAGCAGAGTGGGTGGGTGGAAGATGTTTCTTGAAGGAAGTCTTGTGTCGCACGAAGATGGGGTATCCTTTCTCTCTTTCTCTTTCCAGCTATTTATCTGTCCATCTCTCTTTCTCCCTCTCTCTCTCTTTCGATATCTATCTCTCTCTCTCTCTATCTATCTATCTATCTATCTATCTATCTATCTCTCTCTCTCTCTCTCTCTCTCTCTCTGTGTGTGTGTGTGTGTATGTGTGTGTGTGTGTGTGTGTGGAAATACCCCATTATACCCATTTTCAGAAATGAGTTTTGGTGTAAAAATGGGCATTTAATTTGTCGATATTGAACTGTCTCTCTGACGCGGCTGCGCAAAATGTAGAGTGAAAGTTGTTGTATTCTTTTTGTTTTTTGTTTTTGTTTTTTTAATCTGCGTACATGTATGTGTTTATCTTATTCGTGACTTCGCCAGATGTAGTGATATGATAATTGAGTCCGTGATTCGTAAGTGGGGAAAATTATTTAGAAAAAAAAACGAGAAAGGCAGAGGAGAGGGAGAAAAAAACACACAGAGAAGAATGCGACAGAATCCGCATCTGTTCTTCTCTTCCACGTTGCTCCACTTCGGGATCTTTCTCCTCCCTCCGTCCCTCCTCCCCTTCCTCCCTCTTCTCCCTTTCCCCTTTTCTCCTCTCCTTTTCCTTCTCTCGTCCACTCCCCTTCTCTCTCTCTCCACTTCTCTTCTACCCTTCTTTCCCTTCCACCCTTCTCCTCTTCCCCCTCCCTTCCACCTTCTTCCCCACAGATCCTCTTCCCTTCCCACTCTCCTTCCCTCCCTCTCCCCTTACCTCCCTCCTTCCCTCCCTCCCCTTCCTCTCCCTCCCTCTCCCCTTCCCTCCCTCCCTCTCACACCCTCTCCCCTTACCTCCCTCCCTCTCCTCCCTCTTCCCTTCCCTCTCCTTACCTCTCCCCCTTCCCTCTCCCTCTCCTCCCACCCTTCCCTCTCCTCCCCCCCTCCCTCCCTTCTCCTCCCTCCCTTCACCTCCCTCCCTCCTGCGCAATAATTAAGTCTCAAATGACATTTTCCGGCTGGTTTATCGCCTCAGTAAACTCATTGGCAAGCACCGCTCGCAAGCAATTAGGAAGCAGATGATTCGGGATAACTCGCGCGCCTCCTGAGTCTCAGGCCCTGGGGGGGGGGGGGGGGGGCAGGAACAGGAACTAGGAGAAGGGGAAGAAGAGGAAGAAGAAGGAAGAAGAGGAGACGGAAGAGGGAGAGGAAGAGAAGGCGGAAGGGGGAAGAAGAGGAGACGGAAGAGAGAAGAAAAGGAGATGGAAGAGGGGGAGGAAGAGAAGGCGGAAGGGGGAAGAGGAGGAGACCGAAGAGGGGAGAAGAAAAGGAGAAAATAATGAGAATGATAATAATAATGATAATAATAATAAGAAGAAGAAGAAAAAGAAGAAGAAGAAGAAGAAGAAGAAAAGGAAGAAAGAAGAAGAAGAAAAAAAAGACGAAGTATAAGAAGAAGAGACAAAGAAGAAGATAATTAAGAACACGAAAACGAAGGAAGAGGAAGGAGCGGAAGACGAAAGGGCCGCCCTACGCTCCTGGATCATCGAAGGCGAACCATTAGCGGCGTCCTATAAACACGCCCGGGATGGGGGAAGTGTGCGGGCGCGCGGGAGCTCTCTATCATGGATGTCTATATGTCTCTCTATATCTCTGTCTGTCTGTCTATCTGTATATCTTTCTCTCTATTTCTCTATTTGTTTCTCTATCTGTCTCTCTATCTCTTTCTCTATCTATCTATCTGTCTATCTCCCTCTCCCTTTTCCTCCTCCCCTATCTATCCATCTATCATTTACGTATCCACTCATCTTTCCCTCTCTTCCTTTTCCTCTCTCTCTTATCCACTCATTCGGCGTTCGAGAGCGACAAATCGGCGAGAAAGAACAGCAAGCAGATGAGCGGGATGTCGTGTTTCCCTGTAATGATGATGACAATGGCTTGATAACGATGACTCGGTAATTACGACAGTGACAATGGACTGGCGTGGAATC